CCCTGGAGCTGGAGTTATAGGTAGTTGTAAACTGCCTATCAAGGGTGCTGGGAACTGACCTTAAGTTCTCTAGAAAGTTATCTTCCTTGCCTAATAAAGCATCAGATAGGAGTCTTGTGATGCTTTTGTGCTCAAGGTGGGCCTCAAGGAGTAATCACGTGTCAGTTGTCTTCTGTGTGAAACAGCTGCTAAGGCGGTTAGTTCTGGCTTAAATGTTTTCAGAGTCCATGGTCCTGCTTCTCATGGGCCTGGAGTGGGAGTGAAAGCCAAAAGTGGGAGTGCAGCAAAAGACAGAGGAGGGTCCAGGGTCCCCAGACGTCCTCAAGGATTTGCTCTCAATTGCCTAACTTTCTTCCTTCACAAAGATCTCACAAAACCCCAGGAGTGCCACAGACTGCTGACCAGGCCTCTGCTACCAGAGCCTTCAAGGGATACATATCCAGATGACATCACCGAAAACAACCAACAGGGGGGGCTTGTTCCAGGTTTGGTCTCCCTTCCTTATGATGTCCTAGCAAGTCTTCGACGCTGTGTTACTGGTAACCGGGCAATTAAATGGACCAAACCCGATTTTAGGTATACATTCATCATCTAGTTAGTAATGTCTATGCCGCCCTTGTGGTGTATGCCTATAATTCTAACACCTTTGAGATGGAGGTAGAAAGTCAGGAGCTCAAGACCAGCTTGAGCTACATAGTTAAGTTCAAAGCCTGGTAGGACTCGATTAGGCTAGGTCTCAAGGGGAAGAAAGAAGAAAGGAAACATTTATTATTTTTTTCCTAGTTTGCAGCTGGTTCACTCCTCCCATACGCAGCAAAATGCATGGGATTTACTGTGGCTATTTCCTTCAAAATCAAAATAATATTTGGTTAGCTTCTTGAGGTTGAAATTATACTCTGGATGGCTGAAATTGCCTGCTAATTAGCTGTCAGATAAGGATGAATATGCTGAATTTAATTTTTTGAAATGGAGTGAAGCAAACACCACATGCACTGCTAATGCCAATGCACTTTAATGTGGCTTGATTATGCTTGCTGTCTCACTCACTGAATCAAAATGTTTACTTGTACCTCTGCCGGATAAAACACACAGAATATTTGAGAGTGAAATCACTGCTCAGAAGGTTCGTTTAACACTAACACTTTCCCAGCCTGTTTCAAGATCAGAGCGACCTTCCCATGCTACAGAAAATATTATTTATTGATGGGGGGTGCAATTTCATTAAGAACAAATTGGAGCTACTTAATAAGACCAGTAAAAATGAACCCAGTGACCTGGATAACAAAAATCTCACAATGTGAATCACCACAGCTAGACTCAGGCTTTTAACCACTTTAATTGGTAGATTTATAATTGGTATGCAATAGATCTTACAACAAATGTAGATATGACATCATCAAATATCAAATATCCCATCTTTCGACAATGTCAGCTAACTTACTCCAAGAGAGAAATGTGGCAACGAGCCAGTATCAACTAACATTCCCGAGATCAAAGTTGAAATGGTACATCCATTTGCCCTCAAAAGAAGGTTAAAGGCAAAGGTGAATCAACGTGCAAATTAGCATCTGGACCATTCACAAATTTTCAAGATGCATAGGATCAAACCATGCACCCTTGCAAGCAAGATGAAGGGTGAACAGATCACATTAAACCATAAGCTACTCTGAGACCTCGGGATGTGGAAGTCAGAGGTCTTCTGCCGTTAGTGCTCAGGCATCCATTGTATGTCATCCTACCTAGATCCTGATGCATATCTGTGAGACCTGTGTCCTGGGCCATTTTTTCAGTCAGGGGGAGAGATCATCCTTTGTGGTCCCAGGAACAGTTAACCCTGCATCAGTCAGGTGTGTAGGAGGGATGATGTTCAGAGCTCTGGTAGCCATCTGATGTGGCCATGACATTAACTGTTGTTTTGTAGGATAAGTAAAAACAAGACACCAGTATAATAGCAAATAAGAAACTGAGATCACTTATATATCTATATAATACTTGAAACGTCCATAAATAGTTTTTCTCCAGAAACTGAAAACACTGTAGACACAATTTCAGTAATCCTCACAATATGTCTGTGAGGTAGGAAGGGGCGAGGCCACAATGAAAGCATCATCCCCATTTTATAAATGAAGATACAGCTGTGCAGGGAGGACAAGGGGTCCCACCAGGGCCACAGGAAAAGAAAGTGGAGTTGCATACCAATCCCTGGTCATTTGCAGTCCATTGAGAAGAGGCTCCTAGCTTGCTTTCTACTCTGACTTCCTCCGGAAGTATCACAGTAAGTCCCATCCACGATGGGGTGTGACTGTTTAGATCTAGGGCCACTAATTTCCCTTGTGTAGACTTGAACTAACTCTCCCTGAGGTAAAGGACATCAATTATTGGCATGTATTTCAGAGGTGTGTGTGTGTGTGTGTGTGTGTGTGTGTGTGTGGCAACATCTATAGAAAAAATTGCAGAAATCTCTTGGCCAATTCAAAAGAAGAGAAACATATTTGGCAAAGTAAGTTCTCATACTTGCACATTTTATACTAACAGGCATAGCAAGGGGTGTTCATGAGTTTTGAGGGAAAGCTCCACCTTGTTGCATGTGACTGCACTGTGCTTTCCTGGAAGCAACCGGAAATTAAACAGAGCAAAAGCAATCACATGCTCATGCACAATGCCAGCCTTTGGTGTGAAAAAAATTCTTGCTGTGTCCTTGGTTTCTAACAGGTGAGGGTTCTCAGGAGAAAGCTGCTTCCTTTGGCCTAGGACTGACCCCAGAAGTAATATCTGAAGTACATTATCCTAAAGTATTTCATGGAGACCTTTGTGCTGTGTGTCAAAATGGTTCTGGCTGGTGGAGGAAAATGAGATGTAGGATGCTGTGTTTGTATTGCTTGTCCTTTGCCGAACTGGAGACCCGTGAAGGGGTCAGGGTAGTACCTAGGGACAGTTGTTTAGGTCAAGCATGGCCAGAGGGCATACCCTTTGTTTTTAGGTGTGTGTGTGTGTGTGTGTGTGTGTGTGTGTGTGTGTGTGTATTGGTTCATATTCAGGGATATCTTCATTTCTGCAAACCCATTTCTTTCCACCCACTCTGCTTACAGACTACCTTTGAGGATTGCTCCTTCCTTTTTGGCACCTCTGAGGTTTAGGAAGAATTTTCCCCAGTGCTTGGGATGGCTGGTTGTGGGAAGTACCCCCATTTATGGTCTCCACACCAGAGGGGTTCAGGATAGCACTATAGTGTTTTTCTTCAACAGAGTCATGGGGCAGGATGTGTCTGAGGAATTAAAGACTGATGGCTTCTTGTTCTCTATGACATCATAGGACATTGTAACATATTTTAAGATGTATGCTTTCCACTACATGAAATCAGGACATAAGGAGCTGGGTACCAATTCTGATGCTGCAGGAGAACCGAGGTGTAGCCCTATAGTAAAGCGCTCTAGAAACACAATCGAATATAAGGCAACGCACGTGCCAGAAATCAACCTATCAGTCAACAAACTAAACACTTTGGAGAAAAAAGATTGATGTTTCACTTTGTTAAAGATGAAAGGGTTTTACTGACGTATGAGTGTCTTTTCACATCACAAGGACATCACAATAAATCTCAACCTCCATGTCAGCCTTTGATGTTTTAGGCTAGGAGGCTGTTTGTGGTGGCAGGTTGTCCTGGGCAAAGCAGGGGGTTTAGTAGGCCTCTACCCCTTAGTAGTGCTCCCAGAGAAGTAGCAGCAATCAAAAATTGCCACTAGACATTTTCAAATGTCCCTGGGGGAAGAAGGAAACATCATTTCCTGATGGATAATAAGTGAAATAAATGGATGCCGGTCAAGAAAAATGACTATTTCTCAAAATTTGTTGTGCAGGATTTTGAGACTGGTAATGCAGAGGTGTTCTTTTGTTAAAAGGAAGAAGGAGAAATGTAGGTATTGGGGAGAACAAACAGGCAATTATTGGTGTCTCTTTCCTATGGAAGATTAACTGCCTCTTTTAACATTCTTTTAAAATAGCATATAGCCATTACCCAATATAGACAGTAAGACAGTGAACCTGTTGCTTTATGGGTGTGAAGTGAGAGTTCTATGGGCTCCTCCAAGATTTAGATATCTCCCATTACAATGGGGAGTTGGCTCCTACTTGCTTCAAGAGGGTCCTTGATGCATGTAAGCTTTTGTCTCTCCCTTCTTCCCCCACCCCTTGTGTTCCATGTGCCTCTCCCTTTCTGTTCTTCAAGCTGACCTCCTTCCAGTTTCTCTTTTGGAACTGTGCTGTAACTTTTCAGAAAGCTAGTGTGCTGGGATCCCCATTGCCTTCTGTGGCCGGGATGGAGAGAACAGTTTGAGAGTGTGCTGAGATTGACAGCCCACTATGCTACTTTGCTCTTGACTTCTGGTCTCCTGGGCACAGCCCTCTTTCATCTTTCCTTAATTAGGCAGCTAAGAGTTGTCTGTCTGCTTGTAGGACCAGGTAGGTGTCCTGTCAGATATAGCCAGGTGAATGGGGATTAAAAAGAAATCAAGAAACCTCTGCTTCCCCCACACAGGGTGCTAGCCTCCAGGGATTCATTCCTTTCTCCTCATTGACAGATACTTATGTAATTTCCTATAGAGAAGTTTAAGAAATAACCCAAACCAAAAGTTCCCCTAAAATCAAATCCCCAACAAAGCACCCCAAGCCCCTTTCCTTAGTCCTTCCGAAGTGGGTTCCATGGTGGGGGCTGCAGCTTCCACCTCATGGTGACTGGCCTGGTCAGTGCAAAGATGGCCCGTGTCAGCTGCAAATCGGCCTCCACTGGCCTTTACAAAATGGTTCTTTTGTACCAGAAAGGGGATGTTGCAGTAGCAGCAGAGGAAAGGGAGGGGAAAAAACAACAAAACAAAACAATCATACCAACAGAATAGGGCTTGCGATTGTCTTTCAATGAGCATCAGGTACTTGTTAATAATTCTACTGGATAAGCACTTATAAATAAAGGACAGACACTTCTTGTCCCCAGCCACCTTTCTTTGTTAGGAGTCATCATAGAGAGGGTTGTTGTAGTTTCCCCAGGACCCATAGTCGTGGTCGTCCAGCAGCCTTCCGTAGGAGGAATGCCTGTGTGAGAAGAAGAAGATAAGGTCACTTGTTAGATGTGTCATCTGTGGACAAGTTAAAACCCTGCAGCCTGAACCCAGGATGCTCACAGGTCCATGGGAGCGAAAGGCATGAAATCGTCCAGCAGGATAACCCTGGACTATGTCAGCTCCAATTAACAACAGCGGCCTAGGAGCCAGCCTGGCCCTTTCTGCTGAGATCGGCTGAGTCTTTTCTCCTTCACATCCAGTGCAGGAGAGGGGACCGGAGGCTCCATTTCCACAGCTTCCCAGTAAGAGAGGAAGGGAAGCTTGGGAGCTTGGGGCCCAGCATCTTGATGTAGGTCCTGGAGGTAATTACCCCCAAAGCAACATCCACACAGCCACAGACACTATTGCTGTTACTGCTGCTCTTGGTCTTTCATTTATACAGTGTGTCTATGTTCAGTTTTTAGTTGATCCTCAAAATCAAGACTGGGAGAAAGCAGTGTTTCTCTGATGAGGAAAATGGCCTTCGGGAAGTGTACTTGATATGCCCTGCACCATCCAACTGAGCTATGTGTCAAATCCCCATCCCAATCTAAAAATGAACTTATCAGAACTCAGCCCCCCACCCCAGTCTGATGGGCCCCTTAGTCCAATGGCAACATGGACTAACATGGCTATGCTGGTTATCCTAAGGGGCTGTAGCACATTTATGATTTCTGTAAGACACTGAGATCAGATTGTCATCACATTTTCTTTTTCTTGTCTTTCTTTCTTTCTTTTTTTTTTTCTGAGACAAGATTTCTCTGTAGCATTGGAGACTGTCCTGGAACTATTTCTGTAGACCAGAATGGCCTCAAAATCACAGAGCTCCACTTGCCTCTCCCTCGCTCCACTTGCCTCTCCCTCCCTGTCCCATGCCCAGCTCTGTTGCCTCAGGGCCTTTGCACTTACTGTTTCCTAGTTCACATATCTTCCAAAATACTATGTGATTCCTATAATTGCCTTGTAATTACTTCTCCTCTTCAACTAGACTATATGTTTCATGAGGGTAGTGGCTGCTATGTTTGCTCATGGTTCTATTTCTGGCATCTAGAATATCTGGCACACAGTAAGTCATCCATAATTATCTGTGGAAGACACAGGAACTGAAAAAGATACACCTTGAGCGCTCACAAAAGTGAATCTGTTCACAAAGATGGGTGCTTCTCTGCGAATAGCATGTCCATTTAAAGACCAAAATGAATGACAGGATTGAAAGAGCAACACAAACATGCGGTTCATGGGAGCGTGTGAATTCTTACACGTGTCATAGCCTCCCATAATGCCAATGCACATCAGAGCCTGCATAGACTGAGCTCTTTGCTGGGCTGAGGCGACAATCAGACTCTGGGAATGTGAAGGATAAGAGCTGAATTTAGATCCTGGGGGCTCAGGTTGGACTGGAAATCATGGATGCTAAATATGGTGCAGATAAACATGCCTGGTTCTCACAGTCTTTTCTCAGCCAGAGGTGAAGAATAAGCAAAATAGGAACACAACCTGAGGTACACAAAAGACACTTGCTCCATTTCCATCCACTGCTAAAAAATTGCCCCTCCCTCCTGCAGCTTACTGACACCAGCCAGGGACTGGCAAAGAGGTAACATTTTTCTAGAACCAGCTCCTTGCTCTATTCATTTCAGAGTTCCAGTATAGCTTTTTCGAGCTGATTCAGTGGACCTCTCTATATCCCAGGACACTTGAAAATGCTCCACAAAATAATCTGTTTACATGATCAGCCCATAATCACCTGTGTGTGGATGTGAGAAAGACCAAGAACACAAGTAGCAACCTGGACACCCAGGGAGAGCAGAGATCATCGAGGTAGGTGAAAATCATGAGCTAGTTATGGCCAACCCTCTCCTTACTTAAAAACCTCCTGTTCCAAACAACCACTAATAGGATGACCAAGAAATGGGAGCTGCCCCATGAGAAAATAAACCCCAGGCATTCTAACACTGGAGCCCACCCTCTTTTTCAGCATGACTTACTGTTGTAAGTTTGGCAAACATGTTCCTAATAACTCTATGCCTTCATTGATGGAGAGCCCCTGCTTTGCCTTGAAGGTAATTTAACTTCTTGTGGCATTTTAATCTCTTTCATATAATTTTATTCTTATAAACTGTCAGTTTGGCCAATACATGTATGTCCTGAATAGGTTTTTGACCTCCTTGTTCCTTCATTTATAAAATGGGGAGTTAAAAAATGCATTAAAGTTGTTAGAAGGATTCAATGAGGTAATGCATTTTAAAGTCTTGGCACTCAATAAATATTGGCCAATACTGCTTTGTAACTTTTATTGTAATGAAACTCACACAAGCCCATGCTAAATCTGCAAACAATGAAACAGAGCACTGAACTACTCCAGACATAGTAGTAAGTCCAGTTTCTGATATCATTGTCACTTGAATCTTATGTTATTATGGCATAGTGAAGTCAAAGGATTAAAACTCCTGTGGCCCCCAGGTTTTACAGTCTGTTGTTAATTGAGGCACTTGGGTCAATACTACCCCTGAGTTTGCTGTATTGAAAGAGGTATCTACTGTACAAACAAGAGGAGAATGAAGAAAAACACTAGTCTTGGCTTCCATTTTACTTCACCTTTATGGTTGAACAGTGAGTGCTACTGAGTAAGGAAAGAAATGCAAGGGACATGGATAAACCAAAATGGGGGGCACTAAAGAGAGAAAGATGGGATTGAACCTGCACGGTTTGCTCTTAACTTATTCAGGGGCTGGAACAAGAATTGGATATCCTGGGGTTCAAGCTGGGCTGTTGTGGACACAGGAAATGAAACACAGTGTGGGTATGTGATACAGAGAGAAGAGTTAGTGAGCATTTAAACCTTCCTTTCTGGGCCAGAGCTTCTTAAGCCATGGCGCATTTTGATTGCACAAATGGGGATTTTTCCAGATGAGCACTGCAAGTAAAGTCTAAGAAGTAAAAGAGGAAACTCCTATTGTCCAGAGAGGGGAAACATGGACTAGTCTCTTATTTCATTGTCTTGTCTTTACTTTATTGTCTTTGGCAACGAGTGTGTGTTTCACTTTCTTTGAGCTTAAATAAGATATATTTTAGACAACACCTGCTGTTTTGCAAAGGGTGCATCCCAGCTCTTGGCAAAGCCTCCACCTGTGTTGATGATGTACCCCAAGACCCCCCTTTTGGCAGGGGAAGATCTGGTTTTCAATCATCAGTGCTTACCATGAGCTGAGCAGGAAAGAAACACAGACATTAAGACAGGACCTGGTTTGGGGGAAAGGCTGCAGTCATTAACCTTTAGTAATTAAGCTTTGGACTCTGAATTCTGCTAGCAAAGATGTCTGGTGTAGCTGTCACGGTCTCCTCTTTCCGTTCATACCAGCTGCTCCAGATTTCTAGTTGTCACACCCCTTCCTGGACCCATTTATTAAAAACTTAGTTTAAGGACCCTACTTTGGAAACTTAAGGACACTTTGACCAACTAAGTACACTTAAATACTTATCCTTAGGAACCTTATATTATGAGATGGGTACATAATAGACATGCTACAAATAATTATGTGGTAGGTGGTGGCAAGTGTAGTGGGGGAAAACAAAGCAAGGTGTGAGGTGGGGATCACAGTTCTGAATGGTGCCCAGAGAAGGTCTCCTGGAGGCATCATTTGAGCAGACACCTGAGGAGATGAAGGGTAAGTCTTGTGGATGTCTGGAACACATCCTAACAACAGAGGTGGGAATGAGGGCAAAGGTGTTGGGGACAGGAACACACAAGACATCTGTGTTGCATCGACCAAGTTCCTATTAAAAATAAAAGCAACTTTTCACATTGAATGTGTCAATTCATGGAAAAGTTGCAGGCATCAGTGACAGGGTGTCCATCTTGCCTTCATACAGCATCGTCTAAGGCCAGTGATTTGAGTAACTATCTGTCCAAGTTAGGACTTGAACGCTCTGGGGCACGGTTTTAAAGATGAGACGATTGAGGAAACAAGGAGCCAGGCTTAGTCAGCCAGTTACTACAGCAACTTAGTGGCAAAGTGTCACAACTGAGGGCCTTATCAGTTCTGCCTCTTTCTACCAAAATCCCAATGAGGGGCACATTTCCAAATATTACTTTCAAAACCTTCTTTCATAGTCTGTTTTTTTCAAAGGTATTATTTTCAAACTAAAATTTTCAATAGCCAATCACCTTCACATTTACCTCTTTCAGTTTTTACAGTTATTATCTGTCAGACCATCACTACAGATGAGGGCGGGAGGCCTCACCTCTCTCAACAGACCCAGCATGGAGAGTTGATCAATGAAAGTCTGTGTGGCGTAAACAAGTGGTTCCTACTTCCTCACCCCTGCATCCCTACAGGTGAACCAGCCTCTAAGATTACTCTTGCTGTTGACCAAATTTAGTCCCTTGCAGTTAGCTGTACCAGAGCCTTTTTATGGCTCCAGTGGAAGAGACTTCCATACATCGTTAGTTCCTGGGAAGCAAGTGGAAACAGCAGGAAGGTGCATCCAGGAACTTTGTATGTCAGGGTGAGTTGGAGGCCAGCCACATGGGAATTTAAAAACTGGATGAACCAAACACCTCTAGTTTGTTCAAAGTCATAGGAGCATGAAGGGACAGAGCTGTACATCTGGGGGACCTCCACAGCAAAGTGTCTCTTGGAAGTGTCAGGATATAAGGATAAAGCAGAACTATTCGAAGTATAGTTCTTGGACCACCAGTTTTGGCATCTTTTGTGAGGTAGCTAGAAATGAGGTTGTAAGGACCCCATCCTGACCTACCCAATCAGAATCAGGGTCAGAGTCGCTGGAAATTGTTTGTGATACGCCCCTCACCCCCACTGGCAATTTTGTTCAGCAGAGCCTAGAAAGCCACAGAGGTGTGAATCAAATAAACTAGATACCCAGAACTCCAAAAGCTAATCTGAAAATATCCAGGATGTAGACAACATATTGTAAATGATCCTGGCCTTTACAGCTGGCTGGGACTAGTCATGAAATCCAAAACAAGCAGAAGCCATCTGCAATCACACAAAGCAAGATAGCTAACCACTAACAAAGACATGTGAAGAGCCAGGTCCCATCTTGTCTGAAAATCGAGATCACATGTACTTTGTGAAGGGTCACTGGCACACCTAATCATAGCTTCATCCACTTCTGCAGATGTGGGCTCTTGTGTGGGGAGATTATCTCCTAGCTGAGCAGATTTGAGCAATTTAAACAAAACAGAACTGACTTCCACCACACTTCAATCATCACTAATTAAAGACACCATTCTGCAAGAGGTAGGGAGGGCCTCTGCTTCTCATTAAATTTGCAAATGAGCCTTGGAGTAGAGACAGCCTGAGATAGTTTCTGCTCATGAATGTCTAACACAAATGCAACCCCACTGACAGATAGTATCACCAGGAAGCTGCCATACAACACACAGTCACACTACCGAGCTGCCACCTCATCCTTTTCTTTCCCCTCTTCTCTTTCTCCTATGAATTTTTTGTGTCCACCAAGTGGGGATGCCAATGATATAGTCATTCTTCCAGCCTCATGTTTGAATATACCATGCCTACTGAACATGACATAATGTACCCAGTTCTGAAAAGGATGGCTGTAACAGCATTCAGTCTCCCCAGTGGCTCCCCTCAGCCTCCTCATTGAACATGTGCAGGCATCCCAACTTAATCCCTGTCTAAGCATGGAGTTTCGTGTTTTGTTATAGATACATTTTACAAAGGAAGATGGTGTAGACTGAGACACTCGTCCATGGGTCCTGCACTACACCATGCTATGGTCTCTTTGGGCACTCCAAACCCATCGTTTCATCCTCACACTAAGTCGACAGCTACAGTAAAAAGGCCAGTGTGGTGCTGAGCATGAATGCAGAGCTCCTGTGTGCCCCCCCCCCCCCGCCACATGAAACTGCTGCTGGTCAAGATGGATCCATAACAGGAGAGCTCTAAGAAGTTCAGGCAGGTCAATTGTATAAGCCACATCCTATGATCACTCCGTTTATTAAAAGATACAGTTCTCTAGGCAGCAGACTCTGTGATAAAACTGGAGGTCATAGGCCACTGGAGAACAGAAGTGTGAAAACAGATGGCTAATGAGTTTCCCGATGCCTTTGGAGGAAATGAGCACTTGGGGAGAAAGGTAAAGTCAGCAGAGCTTGTAAGGTATACTGTGTTTTCGAGGTGAGGCAACCTTTGCAGTGGCTTTGAGCTCACAGGGACATTGGCTCTGCCAGGACTGTAGCAAACAGTATGGGGTTTCAGTGAGTTGGCAAGTGATAAGAGTCCACCAGGTAAGGGAACACTTGCATGCCATTGTGCTTAGAAATATGGGATGATAGAGGCAAAATGAATTTCTAGGTCAAATGAAGGGTAATGTTACACACATGCACACACACATACAGATCATACATATACACACATAATACATACATCACACACACACATACACACACACATGGGGAGGGGCAGGCATTAATGGAGCTGACTATATTTTTTGAAGAAGGATCAATTAGAGGTATTTTCCAAGGGTCTAGCAAGATAACACTTGAAGGGATTTTAGCATGGCCCAAGATTCATGAAAACAATTAACCATCCCCCCCAAATGTAATGGGGAAGTAGAAAGGGGCTTTCCTTAGGGGTTTTCTAATGCATGGGTGTGACTAGCTTATCCTTAAGTTTACAGTGCCAAATGTGGGGAGATGACTACATAAGCAGCTCCCATATACTCACACCACTGTGGACCCTCTCCATGTGGGAAAGAGACAAATGGGGGAAAGAGCAGAAATTAATTCAGTTTTGCCCCCAATGTATCTGGTGTCAAAGCTGGAGAGAAGTATAAATAGCATTTTATTCAGTTTTCATCAGTGCACAGAACAATTTATAATGGCATGCTCATTTTCTAAGTGTGGTACATTCTATGAGGGCAGGACTCTCTTGCTTCACTAAGATGGTCCCATTGTTTAGGGAGATGCCTGCCACATGGCTGGTGATCATAAATGTGTGTGTGTGTGTGTGTGTGTGTGTGTGTGTGTGTGTGAGTTTATCTATGTGTGTATGTAAATCTCTCTCTGTGTGTATGTTACTAAGACTCTATTCAGCTTACCTTTTTGATGATGGTGGCAGAAGGACTTGCTCTTGGCACACAGTGTCTGTCCACTCTTTGAGTATGCACACCATTCTTCACAGGTGAGGGAGTGAGGGCTAATGATTCACCATAACAGGCACAGGCTGCCATAACATGGTAGAGCTAGGACTTGAACTAACATCTCCCAGCATCTGGAATCTTTAATTGCCGTTCAAGCTGGCAGATAGGCAGTATTTGTTTGAAATGGTAATTTTGAATTCTTAAAGTCAAGACAAAGAGTCCTCTAGTTGATCTTAACATCTTTTTTTGGTATGTGTGTGTGGAGAATATAGTAAGTAGGTGGACATTTGTGCCAAGGTCATGTTTTTTTGGTGTTATAGTTCTGTAGAACAACACCATCGGTGATTTGAAAAATGATCATAATTTATCTGTAAGTTCCTCTGGCTGGGGCAGGGATATATTTTTAGCATACTCTTTGTTACAAAGAGTAGCAATGAAACTACTTAACTCATAAAAACAAGATATCTATAACAGTAAACTAGTAGTTAAACTAGAGTGGAGAGTACCACTCACAACCTCGTGAGTCATAAAATTAAGTTTGATACTCAAAGAAATTCAGACTTAATGAAGACAAAGGTTTTTTCTTTTTTTTAAATCTGAAGGCAACATCTGTGTGTTTTTATAAAGGCTTTTGGACACGAGTAACTCAGGCGTTTTTGTTTCTCCTTTTCCTCTTCTGTCTTTGTACCCTAGATTGAGGTGATGCTATGAAGCCCTCTCATTCTTGATACAATTATTAGACAGATTTGATGTCAAGTGATAACAAAAGATGGGGTAATATAAGGGAAGGAGGAGGGGTGAATTCCCTGGTGACCACTGGAGATGAGGGGGCTGATAAGGGGATGGGGATGTGTCCTTATAAGGGACAGGCACAAGGGGATGAGGTAGGAGCAGCAGATGCTCTGTGAGGAAGGAACATAGAAGTAAGACAGGAGTGTGTGTGTGTGTGTGTGTGTGTGTGTGTGTGTGTGTGTGTGTGCGCGCGCGTGCTTGTATGATGTGTGTGTGTGCATCTGATGTGTGTGTATATGGCATGTGTGTATGTATGTGCATGAGTCTATGTCTAATGTCTGTGTATATGTTTGTATGGTATGTGTCTGTGTATCTGATGTATGTGTGTGTTTGTGTCTGATGTATGTCTATATGGTATGTGTGTGTGTCTATGACTAATGTCTGTGTGTGTATATCTGATGTGTGTGTGTGTATCTGATGTGTGTTTCTGTGTCTGATGTGTGTGTATATGTGCATATCATATGTGTGTATGTGTGTATCTATGTCTAATGTATGTATGTGTGTATCTGTGTCTGATATGTGTGTACTTGTGTATATGATGTGTACACACATGTGTGTATGCACACAGTACATGTGATGTGAAACTTTAGCAAGTTTCAAAGGCTCATGAAGCTCATATATTTATGAGGAAAAGAGACAATAATTAAGCACACAAATACATGAAATATATAATAAACATTGATAGCATTGTGGATGAAAGCAAAGAAGAACTAAAAGGATAAATGACAGGGCCCGAAACTGAAAAGGAAAGCTCTCTGAGGAAAGGAATGCACATTCAGAGGACGCACAGAAGAGCTTCAAATGAAGCAGTGGGGATGGGGTAGCATAGGCTACCAAAGGCCTGGGAGGCAGTATTGGCGTGCTCTGAGAACTGAAGGGGAGCCTGAACTGGACCTAGATGCAAAGGGCAAGGGCCAGGTCTGAGAGACCTCTAGGTTAGTCCAAGGAGCTAAAATTTCATTCAGGTGCCGAGTGTCTGCCTAGAGACTCCAGACTCCAGTTAAACCTTGTCCTATGACATCAGTATGCCGCACACTCAGTGTTTTCTTCTACAAACTGCCCACCCCTGTCTAGTGTGGGGTTAGTTTCCTGGCCACATTCACTTCCCTGCCTGTATTTCTGAGGGATGAGATGCCCATCACAAAACAAGCCAGTGGCAAAACAGCCTTTGCCCTGGACTCTAACAAATGGAATCTTGTTTTTTCCAAGGAGGAAGGAGTATCTTACCTGATCTTTAGGTATGCTGCAGCTCCAAACACCAACAACACCACAGCAATGACTGTCACGGTGATGGCAGCAATACTGCCTGTAAAGGAGAAAAAGACCAGAAAAGACAATGAAACAGTTAATTTTTTGACTTCAGAGTACATAATACCTACCATGTCTCACCTGGTAGAGGAAAAAGCTATTTACCTCAGACCATTCTGATGGAAATAGATAGAACAAAAGCCAGGACTTCAATATTGTTACTGAACTTCAAAAAACAAAAACAAAAACAAAAAAAACAAGGTGAGGTTCAGTAAATAGTCAATATTTCTTTTAGCATTTATCATGACTTGTTGGGTACTCTGGAATATGAAGGGCAGTACACAGTGATATCTCACAGTTCTTTCAAGAATGATGACAGTCAGTTGCCAGCATTGCTTCTGCAGGGGAAGATGATTGTAAATCTCCCAAGGTCTTTCTTTTCCTGTTTTGTTTTGTGAAATATTGGGAGAAAGGTGTCCCATTCAAGTGCCACTATGAAGTAATGCGGCTGAATTTTTAATAAACCACAAGCACACAGTTGTTTCAGCGATGTCCACCTCACAGGGGTCACTTTGGTAGGAGATACACAGATTTCATGGATGTCATCAAAACAAAGCAGTTGAAAAACAACGCTTCTCCCGCCTCTGCCTCCTTCAGCAAATCTACCACAACCATGGAGAGGCTACCCTAAATGCCCTTTCTCTATAATGAGACTGATGACTACCTTATATGCCATCCTAGAGCCTTCATCCAGTGGCTGAGGGAAGCAGAAACAGAGATCCACAGCTAAACACTGAACTGAACTCCTGGAACCCAGTTGCAGAGAGGGAGGAGTGATGAGCAAAGAGGTCGGGGCCAGACTGGTGAAACCCACAGAAACAGCTGACCTGAACAAGGGGGACACTAGACTGATGTCTGGGAGGCCATCACTGGACTGATCCAGATCCCCTGAATGTGGATGTCAGTCAGGAGGTTTCAGCACTCTATGGGACCTCCAGTAGTAGATCAGTATGTATCCCTGGCCTAAGAAAGGACTTTAGGAGCCCATTCCACATGGAGGAATGCTCTCTAAGCCTGGACACATGGAGGAGGGCCTAGGCCCTGCCCAGGATGATATGACAGACTTTGGGGATACCCCGTGGAGGGCCTTGCCCTCCCTGGGAAGTAGAGGGGAGATGGGGTAGGGGTTGGTAGGGGGTGGGGGATGAGGGGAGGGAGAGGGAGAAGGGATTGACATGTGAAGCAGGCTTGTTTCTAATTTGAACTAATAAAAATATTCTTGAGAAAAAAAGAAAAACAATGCTTCTCTTCTCTTGGGGAAGTAAGGCCACCTTCCATAGTCAAACAGGAGATTTGGATTATACAGAATGAAGTCGTTTGGTATGCAAAGCAAGGTCAATTGTTCAGATAACACTTTTGTTGCCATTGTTGCAGCAACATGGTTATAAAGGAACACAAATGCTTCATGCTGTAGCTTGACATTTTGTTCCTAAGCAATAATAACGGGAAGGTGAATAGACAGACTGACAGACCAACCCTTTAGGCACGTGACCCTATAAAAATAAGCATCCTGGAACTAGAGCCCTCATCCAGTGGCTGATGGAAGCAGAGACAGACATCCACAGATATACACTGAGCTGAAATCGGGAATTTAGTTGAAGAGAGGGAGGATTGAAGAGCGAAGGGGTCTGTACCAGGTTGGAGAATCCCACAGGAACAATTGGTCTGAACAAGGGAGAGCACATCGACCCCAGATGCTGTCGGGGAGGCCAGTACAAGACTGATCCAGACCCCTGAACATGGATGTCAATAAGGAGGCCTCTGCACTCCAGGGAGCCTCTGGTGGTGGATTAGTATTTTTCCCTGGTGCAAGAAGGGACTTTGAGAGCCCATCCCACGTGAAGGGTTACACTCTGGCCTTGGACACATGGGGAAGGGCCCAGGACCAGCACAGGAAGATTTGGGGGACTTTGCAGAGCCCCTGTTGAGGGCCCTACCCTGCCTGGGGAGTTGAGGGTGGATGGAGTGGGAGGTGGGCTGGGGGTGGGGGAGGAGGGATGGGAGTGAGGGGAGGGAGAGGGAGAAGGGACTTACATGTGAAATAAGCTTGTTCCCTAACTGGAACTAATAAATAAAATTAAAAAAAAGCATCCTGCCTCTGAATATATCTTTGGAGTACAGAACTCTTTCTGTATGCATTTTGGACTAATAATGTATGTACTTTTATTCTACCTTAGAAGTATTAAAGATGGATTAGACTCTTGTGAGTAACCATGGTTGCCTGTGTGACCAGGAGCTGTTTAGTCAACTGGGTTGATTTGTATGTTCTGTACATCTCACATGACTTTAATCCAGGTAAATGAGATGTCACACACACACACACCAATCTGAAGATTGTTCAGTGCATGATCCTGGACCGTTTTCTATCTCTTGCACATGAATCTTCCCCACATCCTTAGAGATTTATCAATTGTATATTCTTTGGCATCTCTTTTATGACCACCTTCCTTCCATGAATGGCTTGTGCTTATTGCTTTCTCCAACATCCTCTCTACCAAAAGAAGTAGGACATAGCCAAGAAGCAAAGCTACTTCTTAACTCTTTAGTAATCCTCCTAAAATTTTAGGTGAAAGGCTACATCAGGCATCTACATTCCCAGTGCTTACAAGCGAGAGCCAAAGTTCATTGCTAACATGAAGACAACGAGAAGACCTGGATGTTTCCATGGAGACCAGCCATAACCACCATTTCAGAGCTTGCACACTCCAGGAAAACTTGCATGCCCATTTCTTTCAGAAGGCCTTTGAGCCAGATGAACGTAATCATTGGTATGATTATCTCCCTGTTTTATGGCATTTGGTAGAACATGGTGCCGATTGCTGAGAAGCACAGATCTAGTTGAGTGGAGAAAGCCAGAGGTCAGATGCTCTTATGAAAAATCTCCACTCCTGTTTTGAAAGGCAGTGCTTAGCTTCTTGGCCTCCAAACTGTGCTGAAATTAGAACAATTCAAAGTTCATGGAAGCCGCTTAAGAGCTCTACTGTGAGCTTTCAAAGGGAGGGCTAGAACTGCAAGGTAAGCTGAGGGGGCATTGGACGATTAGAAAAGATGCAGTCTTTGCAATTAGGAACAGTTTTTAAAAACTGACCTTTTAATTTAACCCCTCCTCCCCCCTCAAAGGGAAAGGAATATAGCCGGCTCCACTAAAGGACTCCTAAACCACCCTAAGGGTAGTTTAGTGTAGGACACTGTAGGTCTGACCTTCTGCAGGGTGTCTTCTCTAACTCTAAGCACCTGGATTTCCTCCAACTCTGCCATTTACCCAGTTTATTTATAAACCACCTCCTTTTAAAATAAATCAGGCGGTTCCCCCAACTCAAGAACTTTTCTTTTTTGTGTGGAGACGGCGAGTAACAGAGTGTCCTGCTTCTTCTCCACATCATCATGGCCATCCAGCTCCAGGAGCAGTTCCAATACTCAAGGCCACCCTCTGTGACCACAGGTGACATCATCCTCATTACCAGAGATGGAGGTTACAGGTGACATTTTGCCTGGTAGTCTCCCGGGGAACACTGGGCAAAGGGCCCTTAGAGAGTTGGTTCCACTAATATGAAGCAAAGGGTATAAGGTAAAATAGTTTGTTCTGAAGTTTGGGACCTTTCCATGAGACGCTTGGTCACCTACTGGCTCTTGGAAGGGAGTGGTACAACCTCCCCACCCCCATCTCCACCCCATCTCCAACCCCAGGATTTGGAATCTTCTGGAAGGAGATTTAGCCTGAGCCCAGAAGATCCTGTGTTCTGAGCTTTCCCTCAGCAGCTGTGTCTGGCCTGGGAAATTGCACTTGGAGGGCTTGGTGGTATGTGTGTGTGCGCGGGGGAGGGGGGCAGCTGCTAAGCTCCTGTGAGCCCTGCTTTCTATGGCAACTGAAAAGGTTTTGGGGTTTTTGTTTGTTTGTTTTGTTTTGCCTTGTGCAAACAAATGCTGTTCCCCCAACTTTTCTTTAACCTGGAATTCCCCTTGTCATTTTATTCTCCTTTTTCTTCCCTAAGATAGGACTTGGAGAAGAAAAAGGAGAAAGATTTGATTGTGGGGAAAGTTTTGCTCACAAAGAATGTACAGGATCTCTCTGGTTATGTGCTGGGAAGGGGTGTGAGGAAGTTTGCTGGCATTTTAGTTCTTCCTCCTTGGGATCCATTATTTACAGACCAGGTGTGACTCATGCCATAAAGCTGTGGGACGGGCAGACATTGGAGAATTGGAGGAAATGTATCTGCATATTGCGTAAGTCAAAATACAAGACATCCCCCTGTGCCAGCAGATTGTACTGTGACAACATGTTCTGCCTAACCAAGGGGCTCTTGAAGATCCAGAAATCAAAGCCTCCATGAAGTTCATGCCATCCCAAAGCCTGGATTTCTCCCAGTACCCTTTTTTTTTTTTTTTTTTTTTTTTTTTTTTGTCATTTTCATAATGGTCGGGAAGGAAAATAAACAGGTTCAAGGATTACCATGGCTCCTGTCTTTTGCAGGTGATTACTTTGGGCCAGTCCTTGACCAAGAAGGTTACACCTCTCATTTAATTCCCTTTCTGAGCTGAATATATGAGGAAGCCGAGGCCAGGAAAGGTTGAGATCTTCATTAAAGTTTTACATTTGGCAAATCATGGAGCTAAGTGACATCTGAACCCAGGGTTCATTTCACCTGCCTTTTGCATGGTAATCATCACCATGCTAGTTACTTCCTGTAGCCCATTCCAGGGGCTCTTCAGCTCTTGTCTTCTTGGTTCATTTGTTTGCTTTGTTTTTGCTTTTTCCCTTTATGACATAACTAAATATCAAGGCTTCTGAGATGCTTTCTCTGATGGACACTCTTGAGTAACTGACAGTGTGTCTCTGGCTTTCAAACACTGGATTGTGTTTTTGAGCTTCTTCAGGCAGATTCTCATCATAGCCATCTTGTATCTTCTTCCATCCTTTTCATAGTTTTAGCACCAGGCACTGTCTCTGGCCCATGGTGGGTACTTAACCTTTTCCTTTGGTGTTGAATCACTCATAGT